TGGCATCTTCATCAGAATGAAAGTGCTGTAATGCCAGCCATTAGCCATCGATCAGAACAAGTTATAATCTGAAGGGGCAGTTATCAGTTATCTCCTGTTAATTCCCCTCTCCAAGTTAACAGGAGATAACTGACAACTGACATCCAGTAAAATATGGCACGTGGAAGTAGAACAGCCTACCCCAGTGAGCAAAATAAAGGGTTCAGTTCGACATTCCAACCACCTGTAGAAGGCCGGAGTGTACAACGGCCGAAACGTTGTAATAAATATGGCGACAAAGATGAGGACAATAGTCCGAATAATGTAAATAGTGTACATAATACCTCATCTCAGAAATATAGACAGATACTGAAAAGCCGAAACGTTGTAATAAATATGGCGACAAAGATGAGGACAATAGTCCGAATAATGTAAATAGTGTACATAATACCTCATCTCAGAAATATAGACAGATACTGAAGCCTGATATCTAATACCCTCTGTATGAACCCTGAAAATTTCGATCCACTGAAGACAATTTATATTTATCTCGTAACACTGCATTCACATCCACTGTGAATAAATTCACTTAAGTTCGTTGTTGCCTTTTGTTTCTGTAAATAAATATTGTTAACCTTAAGCATGTCTTCCCTGACATCACTTATGTTGCATAGCAGAAAGGAGGAATACATATCGATCAAATCCTTCTGATATTTATACAGGCCAAATTTCTATATTTACTCCTTCTCACCATTCACAATAATAAACTTGTCGGATTAAAATTAAAAATTCATTTAATAATTCAATAAAAAATATATGAAAATATCTCCATGCTTTGAAATTTATTCCTGAAAATGTTGAATTCGGTCTCAATTTAATTCCATTATAAACCTATAGAAACATGCAGTATTTACTCTGTCTCCCCGCTAGGACGAGATGTAACACAAGGTCTATTTTTAGGTGGGGACCCGAGCGTGTACGCCCGGGACAGGAACAAAAATTTCCCTCAGCTCCCGCAACCGTCGGTTACGCGGGCCTCGGTGCGAGCACCGATCCCTCCCTCTGGTGCAATGGGAGGGCGCAGCCTCGGGCAGATGCTCTACGTACACGCGGTATTTACTGCCCCCCCCCCCCGAATAGGACGAGATGTGATACAAGGTCTATTTTTAGGTGGGGACCCGAGCGTGTACGCCCGGGACAGGAACAAAATTCCTTCAGTCCCCGCAACCGTCGGTTACGCTAGCCTAGGTGCGAGCACCGATCCCTCCCTCTGGTGCAATGGGAGGGCACGGCCTCGGGCAGCTGTTCCCCAGGGCTGAGCACCTTTTCAATATTATTTTCCTCAGTTGCCCCTCTGTCCTTTGACAGAGAAGCCCCTGAGCACTCTCTGCCCAAAGACAGAGACGCAACTGAGAGATGATAAGTAGACGTGTAGAAATTACTCTAAAAGAGTAATGTAGAAACATGCACGAACCTTCAAGATTTAACTTTTTCTTTATGTGTCTATCCCTTCAGAACGTATACGATAATGGCACTCCCCATCTTCCTGTTCTTTGTATCTTTTAATACATTTTGTTTTTTTTGCTAGTTCTTACAAACCCTGTTCTACCATCCATTTCTTCATCAAGTATGTTATGCGCTGTTTTTCTCTGTCCCTCTTGCCATCAATTTGTCCTGTGAGTATCAGATTTTCCAAGCTATTCATTGCTGGAATGTATTGACATCATCTGTAAGAAAAGATTTTGTGGTCAAGCATCTGTCTTGCACACGATGGTCAGTACATTTTTATGCTGTTCATGCTCTGTATTGGGGATTTCGAGAAATTAAAACATTCTCAATCAGCTGACAATGAACATGAAGTGAATTATGGAAATTATTACATGTTTCGAAATTTGACCGGGCCCCTTGGCATTGTTACAACGATCCCTGTGACTGGCTGAAAAGGAACCAATCAGAAGGCCCCTTACTGAAACTACTTCGTCCCGATCGGCGTGCCATGTTTGAATTTTTCTTCCTCTTTCCTATGTTGGTTTCCAACGAGTAGCACTTACAAAAAAAACTGCTCTCAGAAAAAAATTCACCAACAAATCTGTGGACCCGGGATTGTAACGCTTAATCCACATGAAGAAATATATTCTCAATCCTCAGAAAGTCCGGGCGCCGAGACAACGTTGCCACCGACACAACAATAAATCACAAGACCTCAAAGAACTGTTAACAGAACGTTTCTTTTCTGCTGACAAGATACAAGTCCGTAAAATACCATTTCTTTTTACAACAAGGTTTTAGAAACCTTGTCACTTCCTCCTTTTCTTCCTTCTCTTTCCTTTTTTTCCATAAAAGGTTTGGTTACGTTCTTTTTTCTTACGCCGTGTCACGTCACTTAATTATCTTTTTTTCTACAACGGTAATTACTTTTCGAAAAACTTAAACGAGTGAAATACCAACAGAATACAAGACGAGAGAAAGAAGTCTTGAGCAAAAAAAAATGGAGGACATGTAAACAATCTTTCTCACAATTCTTCGGAATAACATGCTAGAAAGAATGAACAAAACAAGCAAAGTCCTACAATCAAAGGATACAAATATCTTTGTTGCCGCGGATCTTCTTAAGTCTATGAGAACCTATCTTCATACAATTAGTGGCAAATTTAGTGAATATGAATTCGAGGCCATGAGTATGTGTCCAGGTACAGATTACAGTGACGAGAAAAAAAAAAAGGGGAACGAAAACGAAGTGTACGTCTTAATAGATATGATGGATCAGCAGAAAAGGTACTTCTCAGTAAAACCGAAAAGTTCAATATGGAAACTTTCCTCCCTAGTCTGGACACTGTAGTCGTTGAATTGACAAAAAGTAGAGAGGCTTATTTAAATCTATTTTCTTTCTTCAGTGAATTGAAAGCCATTGTTTCTGATGCACTAAAGAAAAAATGTGAACAACTGACTAATATTTATCACAAAGACCTGAATTATGATTACCTTTTAAATGAATGTGAGCATCTCAAGCACTACATGGCTCTTGGTGAAAATTGTGAGACTGTAGTGGACCGTGTCGGCGATGTTGAGTATAAGTAGATGAGTATGTGTTGTAGAAGTAGACATGTGCGTAGAATTTTCCTAGCCGGTCCAACTACATGAGAAAGATGGACTTTAATTAAGTCCAAAGAAGACAAGGAAAAACAAACAAGACCAATGAATATATGTAAACAAATATATGTATTAATAACAAGAAAGGTTACAAGTTACATGGACAGTTACATGGACAGAGTGCATGTGGTGAATATCATGTGTGTGTGCTGTGTTGAGTGTTCGTACGCACGTGTATTGTTCTTAGCGTGTTCCCAGCGTTTGGGAAACGCTGTATCTGTGAGAGCTCACATCTGCGAGGTGGCATAAGACTGAAGGCCCGAGGAAAAAAGAGATTTACCTCAAGGTGGCGGCCCAAAGGCTTAAGGGAAAAAGAGGTCGAGGCGAAGTTCAGCGAGTATTTATAGACAGGGAAGAGAGACCCCTGTTGAAGGATTAAGGAACTAAGGAGGAACTAACTCCGACAAGACTCTCCTTGCACCGTACAGAAAAATAATTTCGGACAATTTGAAATCTGTATTCCTGAATGTTGAAATTGTACTCAGTGCTCATGTGCATGATGTTACAGAAGGACTGAAACTTCTGCTTCGTAGCACAACGGGGCAACATCGTTTGAACTGGCTTTCAATCATGTGGATCGAAAATGACACCCTATTCCTGAAGATCATTGACTTCAAGCCAATAATAAAGCAATTATCCGAAAAGAAATGTTGCAAATGCTTGCTATAAAAAGTTCATAATAATTTCATACTGTTTCATCTAATCTGTGTAACTTACTGAGTATTGTCGTGTTTTTCAAGCCTTGTGTATTGTTCAAATGTTTATCATGTTGATTAGTTGCTGCTCTACAGTATGTTCTTTTTGTAATGAGATAATACACTTACCACACTGGACAAAGTGGACATGTAGCTGTTTGGCGAGTAAATCCAACATGGCCGACGTTGTGAAGGAGCGACGATGTCATGCGTAGTCGCAAGGAGCGGCCATTTGCAATCGCCCCACTACGCTTGTGTGACGCTACTTGTTTGAATTCGATCGGAGCGTTTTTAGTGTGACTATTGGAGAGTGCGGTTGATTTCTAGCAGTTTTATGTGCATTGGGATTTTTGACATTAGACTTATATTTTCTTTCTGGATTTTACGATTTGTTTGTTTTGTTTTAAGCTATCATATTAACTCTGTAACATTTTTAATGTTTTAACACCAGTTTTGTTGTAATGCCAATAAAATAAATATATTTTAACATTATCGACTATTTACTTTTTATTCCTGTGAGTGGTTGTTGTAGGGGCCACAACACACTGGTTTGCCCAGGGGCCCATAATGCTGTTAAGACAGCCCTGTCGCTGTCTTCTGTATGAGCTTTTGCAGTTTTCTTTCCGTGTTTACTGTTTACTATCAGCAATGTGTCTTCTGCATAATTTTTCCTAAGCAGGCCCGTCGTCAAAGTGTTTTGAGTTGGGGGTGGCGGCCTATTTGACCCGTGAATAAAATAGAATAAAAATATGCTTTTATATTATTATTAAAATTTATTTTAATAAAAATAGTTACACAGTTACGAGAGAAAAATACGTAACTTTTACTCGAAATAAGTATTTAGTTGCTGTAACTATAGTAACAAGGACAACGTCAATATGGCGGACAGGACGTTGTTTTGTTTTGATTTGATTTTTAACATGCTTGCATGTAGTGTTGTTATGCTTGTTTTGCTTTTTTAATTAATTGTTTTTTTGTTATTCATTGTTGATGGGATTAAAAATAGCGATGACTCACGGGAACAAATTAGCCGAAAAACGAATGTCGAAAGGTCACGTAGAAATAGTCTACGAGGAAATAGAATTGTTACAAGGCGAGACACCGATTACACATTGTATTCTCAAAAACTGTGTAGACATTTTGATCAATTCGTTAAATGATGAGGCAAACCAAGAAATGGCAACAAGCTTGTTAGACCAAAGGAATGCTGACGGTCGGACTCCTCTCGAATTATCCGCCATACTGGGCCGTGTCGAAATGATCAGTGTGTTGCTACAATTCGGAGCCAATGTTAATTTGGCAAACTGCGGAGGTAAAAAAACCCCAAAAAAAACTATTTCTACTACTACTACTACTACTACTGTTGTTATTGTTGTTTGATCTTCAAACTCAGCAATTTTTGCTGGATATGGTACTTTTAGTTAGGTAATTTCCATCTCTAGCAGCAACAACAACATTATTTTTTTTTTTAAGTTACTTCCAAAGATTAGCTAAAAAAACGTGAGCATACATGATGAAAAAATGCCCCAAACTTAACAAAAGCAAAGTTTTAGCGTCAAAGTCGTTATTATTATTATTAATAACAACAATAATAACAATAATAATAATATTAATAATAATAACAACAATAATAACAATAACAATAATAATAATAATAATAATAAAGGCCAAGGGATTTTTTAAGTGACTTGTAAATTAGTATGGGAAATTTTAGCATCTTTTTGCTGATTTGCAAATTCTTGCAAAAATCAGATAATTGTCGGATTTTAATGAAACTTTCAGGAATTATTCACAAATGAATGAAATTATTTTAGAAACGTTTCCTTTTGAGAAAATCTTTCTAATGGGAATTTCGAGAAAAGCATTTTGACGTAATGTTTGTATTAGTTACTAGCAGGGTTCACCCGCTCACTATCGCTTTGCAAAGTAAGATATATTCACTACTTGAAATATTTGAATCTAAAATTTTAAATGAACATTTCATTCATAAATTGGCTTGTTATAGCTAAGGAAAGTTTTGCAAATAGATGCCAGCATGTTGAAGGCCAAGTAAAATGCAAATTTCAAACACTGTTCTGCACTATATAAGACAATATTCCTAAACAGAAATATTTTTGATATGAAAATCAAAAAAATCCTTGAATAAAAGAACACTAATGAAGGACAGTTAATTAATGAAATATACTTTTTTTAATCAATATGCAAATTAGTTAAACCTGAAGAGTGAGATCACTTACAAGTAAATAATATATAATACAGACATTGAGTATCATAAAGTAGACTTAGGTCCATTTTAACTTCAGAGATTTGTATTTGTTCCATATATAGGTTTTATTACTTAATTATCTGTTATGTTTCTCTAATTCTTCAAATGTTGAATGTGTAACTAATTCTATTTTCCCATCTTTACACTATATCAATTTGATCTTATAAATTGTCCCCTGTTCTGTCATCCATGAAATAAAAATAATTGTTTGTACGGAAAATAAGGATATGCGTACATCAAATCGTCTTTAAATTAAGTTGCAGCAGAAGAATTATCGTTGAACTTTTTAAAAAGCTTAAACATTAATTCAATACTTAAATGCAGCGGTCAATTTTGAGTTCTTCTGTAGTTTATTGTTGCCTATCGCATCTACTCTTTCCTAGCTACTGTGATGATGGCCAAACCAAAAGTCCTCCAAAAGAGCTAGCATAAATGCCGTCCGATAGTTTATAGTAAAACGTACACTGCAATTTTGAATACAAAAGGAAAATAAGAGTTACTCTCCTTGAACCATGAAAGCAACAATAATGGCTAGTATAATATATTAATATATATTTTTAACGTCGCATAACCTGGCAATCCTGAATCTGAGCTCAACGAAAATCGTTCCCTGCGCTAAGATTTTCTAGGGCTTTTGAATGAGCTATGAATCATTGAAATCGGACCAGTGGGAGCAGAGGAGTTGCTTGGGGACACACACGCACAAACACACGCACACACACACACACATGCATACACACACACACACACACACTGTACTTTATATATACGATAAGCACAAGTCCTTAGAAAATTTAAATTATCATTTTTGTGTGTGTAAAATATGACTAATAAAATATTTAATTAGAAAATATTTTAATTGCTTTTATGAATAAGTTATATTATGGGCATTAATGCCTTTATAAAATTCGACGAATAATTAATTTTTACAAGAATAGTTTCTATTTAAATTTTAATCATAAGAATTTATAAAGTTTTAAATCTTTTAAAATTCTGTCTAAATTTGTATCTGTTAGGTGATATTAAGTAAAAACTATATTTACTAATCATAAATGGAAAAGCTTACGACGACCACCAATATTTTAAAAATACTATTTGTGTGTGTGTGTGTGTGTGTGTGTGTGTGTGTGTGTGTGTGTGTGTGTGTAAACTTACCAATTTTTATAAATAAGGACGACCATACACGATATTATAAGAAAATAAGAGCGCTAACTACAAATTTAAAATGCATTGGTAATTTTCTCACATTTTCCTCGACAAACGACTTCGTAAGTAAGACTAAAGTACCTAAAATTCAATAAAATATTAGATTGCTTAGAATATTTTCTTAAATTTTTAAGATAATTGGGTAGTTAAAAGATATATATTAAAAAAATGCGTTCACGTTGTATTCATCAAATAATTTTCAGTTATGCCCCACTTACTTAAATTTCGAGATTTTTAAACTTACATATTGATTTTTTTTTTTTTTTGGCGTACCTAATATTTTTTTCTTTTTTTTTTTTTTGAGGTACCTATATTTTTTTGAGGTACCTAAATGTTTTTGTGGGGGGCGGTACCTAATTTTATTTTTTTAAAGGTACCTAATTTTTATTTTTTGTGGCGGTACCGAATTTTTTTTTTTTTTTGAGGTATCTAATTTTGTTTTTGAGGTACCGATTTTTTTCTATGTGAAGGTACCTTTTTTTTTTTGAGGTACCTAATTTTTTTGAGGTACCTAATTTTAAATGTCTTTAATGTTTTTAGTTCAGATTTTGGTGGTGCCAAATTTATTGCCATTCTTTCCTTCTTGTAAGTAAATGACAATAGTAATATAAACAACTGTTTTCCAGAGAAACGCTTCCCATCACATAAGTAATATACCTATGTATATTTTTTGTCACCTTTTATAGGCTACACACCAGCTCATTATGCCGCAGCCTGGGGTCAGACCCAAATCCTCAAGTTACTTATTGAAGCAAAAGCTGATCTTACCCTAACCAACAGTATTGGTGAGACACCGCATCAAATGGCGTTGCGTTATGGTCAGATGGAATGCATAGACTTTATTGACTGGATAGGTAATTGAGTTCTTTTTTCTTTGCATCAAGTGATACTTAAAAATTGGATGAGGCGACATATGTTTTTGTTCTACAATTCAGAAAATAAAATAAAAAATATCCTAATTTTAATAAAAAATGAAAATAAACGGTACTGAAAATATTCGCATACGAAATACTGGACAAGGAAAAACTGGGAGAGTTAGACGTCTGAAAGAATCAGCCCATATTCTAAACTATGAGGATCTCCTTGGTAGACCTAGCATAGAAACAAATACAATATGGGAGCCATTAATAAAGAAAAAAGATGAATGACAGCAAGTCTTCAACCGCAGTAGTAATGAAAACATGATAACCTGCAGCAGTTGCAACCTAAGCAGAAGCCAGGTTAAGTTTAATGCTCTAAGTTTACTACGGAAAATTGCCCTACGACAATAAAAGAACAAAGTGGGTAAAGGCGTTGGTATATGAATTTGGTGACATAGTGATTGTAACTTCAATTCCTGTGTCGAGTAATACGTACTTGTGTTACATTGCAACTCAGACCAGACACAAGGTTCGTTGGCAGGATGCAGCTTCTTCCAGTCAAAGGCTTGTGGTTTAAAAATTACCCTTTAGCCAGATCGTTACCCATGAGTGAAAAACAATACAATTTCTAGCAGTAAACCAGATTTTATTTTTGTGTTGTAACCTACTGCTATAAGTGAGCGAAGTTGACATGAGGCGTAGGTGAGCGGGAGGCGAATAGTCTAACGGATGTCTTCCCTGTCACGTCGTTCTCCGAGGCCCGCTTCGTACCTCTCTGCCCTTTCGGGGTACTGGTCAGTTTTATAGCTAAAATGGTTCTTTGTCCTGTAGTCTTCGTTTAAAAAAAGCAATTTATTTTAATTCAGTGACTTCTCTTTGTCTGGGCCGCTCGTTGAATCCCACTTCACGATATACGGATAACCATTGGTCGAAAATAAATATTCCGAACGCTTTTTTTTTTTTGCGCCACGTTCAGCTGTCTTCAACTTAACAAGACCTCACCTGACTGATATTGCTATACTTGCACTCAGTGGAAACAGGTGAACAATAACTGAACAATACTAAATAAAGTAAGAACTAGACGATATCCCTGGACATGAACAATGGAACGAGAACTGTCTACTCACGTAGATTAAATAAAGGGTTCCATTCAGAATTCCCTTTAGGTTACACAGATTGATATACACCTGCTAAAAGCCGGAGGGCACAACAGCCGTAACGCTGTGATAAAAAAAAACAAACAAACAAAAAAAACAAACAAAGATGTGGACTATTTACATTATTTACATTGTTCGGACTGGCTTAGTGGATAAAGGCGTTGGTTGGTTGGTTGATTGATCCAGAATTGACTTAACCCAAAAAGAGTTCTAAGTTCAATCCCTGGCAACAGCAGAAAGAACAAACCTTGAAGAGTTGAGTTATCAAGAGGGAATGAACTAAAACTGAGATATCCAAAGGCATGGCACGTGAAATTAGAACAATCTACTCCCGTCGACTAAATAAAGGGTTCGATTCGAAATTCCAAATATCACCTAAAGAACGGCGAAAACGCCGTGAATATGGGAATAGAGATGAGAACTGTTGTAGAATTGTTTCAGACTTTAGTATTCCACTACCACTTTTTTTTTTATCAATGTCGATTTTTGTGCAAAAAGCGGATCACAGAGCTTATACAACTTCAATACATATTTTCAGAAAACCTCAACTTCTAATTGGTCAGTTAATATTAAAATCATGTTCTCAACTACGTCCGAATAACATCGACCTAGTTCCTGACCTGATGAAAATAAATGCTTTTTGGAGTCTGTGACTAAAAACATATACACTAAACAGAATGGACGAGTGAACCTTGCCAAGGAGAATTTACGACGACTAGCATTTGTTAAACTAGTTCACGACGCTTGTATCATTACAGCAGTGAAGTACAAAGTTAGAATTTTAAGTTCTTCAACATGAAATAACTTCACTGTAATTCAGGCTAAAACATTCAACTAAACCACTCACACACCAACTTCTTCTGGAACTTACTAAAAACTATTCAATCACACGATTGAATCTTACAAAACTTAATTACAAACATTACGAACATTTACGAATCGGAATATTCAACTACAAGCAACAAAAACTAATTAAAAATTACGGAACATTCACTCCTTCATCTTTTCTGAAGCTAAAAGTTTATCAACATATTCTCAGCATTACAGAATTCTTTCAACACACAGTGAACATTTCGAGCGGAAAGTTTATTCAACTTTTTATGAGCTCAGATAAAAAAAATTTCATTAGTAAAGACTTTAATTCCAGTCAAAGGGAAGTAACTAACTATTAACTATTCATGTATATCATTTGACATACATAAAATATAAATATTGCTCTTGTTATAAAAAGTTATTTTTGTGTTCTTTCTCTTGTTATTTTTAGTTTGCTTACACATTCGTAAAGTAAAAAATGCACGGGTTTATTTAGGCCGTCAATCCTGCTACAAGACAATACGAATTTTTGTTTAATAGTAAGCTTTAATGAACTCGGTATTTACCCAAGTTCACAAGGCAGGATGTGGCACAAGGCGTACGCTCTGGCAAAAAATCCCCGTAGACCCCACATACCCGGGGTCAGGTGGCTGCATACCTCCCAAGAAGAGACTTTACCCGTAGGCATAGCCTCGTCTGAGTTCCTCTCCGTCCGAAGGCAGAGAGTCCGACAAGGTATGAACTTTAATGAATTCCTCCCCACAAGGCTGGACGTGGCACAAAGCTGATTTTTAACTCTGAATATATGTGATCAGGATAGATCCATTAATGGTGGGGGGGGGGGAGTCATGCCACAAGGACAACAGTCCGAACAATGTAAATAATTACAATACCTCATCTCGGAAATATAGACAGATGTTAAAGATGAGGTCAGTAGTCCCAATTGTAAATAGGAAATATTCCATAGACAAAAAAAAATGTTTGAATCTCGTTATGTTAAAAATAAAGACCAAAGTCATTTTGCAACACCTGGAATTCAATTTTAATGACTTCATCGAACGAAAGAATTTTTTTTTTTTTTTGTTGCTGTTTTTCTTTTGTTTTTTTTTTTGTTGAAATTGCAGATATGTGTGTTTATTAATGTAATTATTATCAAAATAATATTTTTATAATTATATAATGATCGTATATTAGCATTTTTTCTATTTAATAGAAGCAAAAACTAATCTGGAATTTACAATTAAAAGAATGCAAGAGCGTCTTACAGAATCTGAAAGGCGACCGACCAAGGAAGAAAAGGTAAGGCTTGATGGGATCAAGGGAGACAACTCTATTTTTTTAAAGATTACAGTCCGGCCTTTTTAATCTGTGGTTTGGTAACCCCTATTGTTGTAAGGCTTAGGGATTAAAATGAACATTTGATTTACCCACGCCAAGAAGATCAATGAAAGATGATAATGACAAACGTGTAATTTTAACAAAACAAAATAAGGAATTTATTCTCGAATTCACAGGCTTCAAGTTCTTGTTAGTAACTCTTTTCAAGAAAATAAATCAGAATTCTAAAAGTCCATAGTTTTAAAGAATTGCCATGAAGAAATGTTCATACAATAGATTAAATAGTCTATCACAAAATAATATTCAAAAATGTTTAAAACAAAGGCAAGATAGTTTGTTGCTCATCGAAGGGATATATGGTTTGAATACATACAAAAGTAGACAATGAGAGATAGTTTGAAATGCTTAGCTTTCTTGGATTGTTGAGAGAAAATTCTTTGAAGTGCTGCATGCTGGTTAGAGGTTGATATAATTGGTGAGTAATTTTTACACTGGTGAGTACTTTAATTCTGATCGAAATAATAATAACTCCCTTCAAATTCGAAGGACTGAGAATGAAGAAGGAAAGGAATTCGCGATTTTTTTTGACCAATGAAAACCTTACCTTCACAGAAATTAGCTAATCAGCCAAGAAGAAGAACGAAATAAATTTGTAAGCCCACGCAAATTTCTTTTTGATATAAAAATGAGAAAAATGAAATTAACAAGAGAAGAGCATCTGAAGTTATGTGAAAGGTTTCGATGCTAATATTTTCCACTGACATGAAGTGGAAAGATTATATTGAAACAATTTCTAGGTCTGCTGCTAGGAAAGTTGGAATTTTAGGTATTCAAACGGTCTAAGAATGAAAAATCTTTGAGAGCATTAGTATGCCAGAAGTCATGAAGTAGGTGCCTCGTATTATGTATGATTCCCTCTAGCTTAGCAAAATCTAGCAACCTGGTGTGGCATCTATTCCACAAGTGATTGAATGTCCTCTGGAGTGATGATGATCTATACTGTCTCAATAATAGTCCACAGTTTTCTGGCATTTGTAGGTGTGAATAGATGTGTTTACCAGATCCCACAACTGCTCAGTTAGTTTCACATCAGGTGGAAAAGCTGTCTAAATAATGTGTCCAATATTTCTGCCTAAGAACTGCTTCTTTGTAGAACTAGCTCCCAGAGGTATGCTTCCCAAAACACTACAATCTTAATATCATCATATCAAGAGACATATCATTATCTATTCTTCTTATACACATAATTCTTCCTCTTTCATTCATAATGCACACCTCCTTCATTGTAACCATTTTAACCTTCTACTTTGAGTGGCACTTGAGCCTTGTACTGAGTGAATATTAGTATTATGTTATGGCCTGTTAAGGGCCAGAAAGAAAGACACGGAAAGAAGAAGGTAGGGCGAACAAGTGTATTGAAATAACAGAAACATATATACAAAATAAGACTGTTATTAGTCAGCAGATAGAAGTGTCCATCTAAAGTGTCAGTTTACACTGCGTCCCAACTGCTTGCTTAGGAAGTCTCACAGGTTAGTATTTATGAAGGAGGAAGATTGATTTGGTTTGTTTTTTTTTTCCTGGTAATATTTTTGTTTTGTCAAAAATCCATTTCTGTTAATATTTTTTCCTCAAAAACGTATAGCTGGTATTTTTTCAAAAACACATAGCTGGTAATATCATTTTTTGGTAATAATTTTTTACAAAGTATTTCTGGTATTAAAACCTATTTTTACACTTTTATAATGCTTTTTACCTCAGTTTCAGAGTTAACTATTTGTCCATAACTGGGACCCTAACAGGTGCTACCACCCCCGGGTCAGGGTGGACCTGGGAACACCAGCAATCAAGAGGTGGTTCCACACTCCTCAAAACCTCCTGATCAGAGGCCATGATGTTGGATGAAGTTTATCGTCTTACCCAAGATGCAGATGTAGTTTATTATCATACCCAGGATGCGAAGGAGGAAGAGTTCATTCTAATGTAGATAAGTCACCATAAAATTTTACTATGAAGAAATTCAAAGAATTTGTTCTATCCAGACTTTAGAATCCACTTAGTGCTTTTACTTTATTCTTCTTTCAAAAGAAAATAGTATGACCATGTGCAGAATCCCTGCTATTGATTCACAAGCTTGTAATCAATAATGGGGATTCAAATTGATTCAAACTGGCAGAGTGTCTATTCATTCTATTCTGTGCATCCATAGATTTTTGGTATGATGTAAAAGATATATAATCAATAATAGATCAACAACTGCGTCAGCATTATCATCAGTTCCATGACCAAATGTGGTCATAGGGTCACCACACCCTTCCACATATCTGTGGTGATTCAACAGGTCTGCTTGCCCTTGTTGTGCCATTCCCTTTCCAGATTAAACCATCAACGATATCCTCCAACATTAACACTCACCATGAACATATGGCCATTGAAACTCTCTACACCAGATGTTGATTTAATGGCACCAGATGTTGATTTAATGGCACATTAGTGCTAAGTGGAGGGTTTCCAACTCTCCGCTTAGCATTACTGTGCCATTATCTCACTGGCTGAATGTATAGCTAAGGAAATCAATCTATCATGTGCTGTGCTAGATGGCACTTACTCTGTAAGAAAGTCTGGCAAACATGGACTTCTGTGCCCACAATAAGACATATTGTCAAAAAGACGTTGTTTTCCCATGACACCAATTTTTTAAATACCATCACTCTTCGGTAATGTTTATTGTCTTAAAAAGTGATGATTAGAATTGGAATAAAATCTAAACATATGAAAGTGAATTTATAAATTTTCTTTGTTCTTGTGAACTGACAACAAAAATAATAAACACTATTGAGTATTGGAATTGTTGGCAAAACATTGGCTAATTGCCAATTGATTCAAACTTTATAAAATGGTAAATAATAAGGATTTTCTTATAGTTGGTTCACATATTTTAATAATTTAGTAAATGTTTATAAATTTATGAATAAAAAATTCTTTTCATATTTCTTTGAAATTGGTAAATGAAATATTGCATTGCATCAGTTTAGTACAACCAAACTTTATAAAATGGTAAATAATAAGGATTTTCTTATAGTTGGTTCATATATTTTAATAATTTAGTAAATGTTTATAAATTTATGAATAAAAAATTCTTTTCATATTTCTTTATAAATTGGTAAATGATAAATATTGCATTGCATCAGTTTTAATTGTATTATTTTTTAGAATGTTGTAAATAGAAAATTATTCTTGTAAATAAACAAGCTAATAAATAAATTGTGTTTAATATTTTTGTTATAAATTCTCAAGAACAAAAAAAATGGATAAATTCCCTTTTGTCATATTTTTAGCTCTCATTCTAATTCCAATTATCATTTTTTAAAACAATAAACATTGCAATTGTGTTTTTTCAATTTTTGGCACTGTCAGAACCACCACAAGGTAATTTTACGTAGTCCTCTGAAGTTTTGTTGAAATCAGTTGAAAAATGTAGGAAATCCGATCCAATATATAAACGTACAGACACACACACACACACACACACACACACACACAATCTGCATTTTATAATAAGTAAGATGTTTCATCTTATTATTGTTTCTTTTTGTTTTAAATAGAGCCTTTACATTATTATTTTTTATTACTACTTTTAATGCATTTTCTTGTTTTATTTTAGAATCTGGTGTTAAATGCTTGCAAAGAGAAACTGGCCTGGCTTGAATCTGTCACTATGCCAACCACACAAGACTTTATTGTGCAACAAGAATTATTAGAAGCTGCTCTTAATCCAGTCATAGCAAAACTGCTGTCTCACTGTAAGTATCTCTTTATTTATTTCTTTTTGTTTTTTGCTAAATCATTTCGTCCCAAGCAAGGCAATAAAGCCACTAAGACACAAGGGGGTAATTGAGTATTAAAGCATATTTAACAAAACCTTAGACCTCATATTATGTTACTATTTGAATGGTCTTGGAATGATTACAAGATACTCAATATCTACTTTGTAGTAATTTAAGGTCAAATTCATGTACTGAATGTAGTTGAAATAAGTGGGAAGGACTTTTTTAAAATCTAATAAATTGGGAATTTTTATCTGAATTTTTGTTGCTATTATCCCCTGATCACCTTCTGACTGAATTTCTAGGATGAATAGTTATCACTATTTACACTATTTATATTCAGACTATTGTCCTCATCTTTGTTATTATCCCCTGATCGCCTTCTGACTGAATAAGTAAGTAAGTCACTGTTTTCTTTGCTATATAACAACAACAAAAAAGATTAGGACAATAGTACAAATATAAATAGTGTAAATAATGAATGGGGTTTTGGAAAAATCTGAGCGATGGGTAAGATTAGCCAACAATAGGAAGTTTCTTTCAAAATAAGCCAGGTGGTTAGAATAATAACAGGGAGCAAAAATTAATGAGCATTTGTTGGGGGGGGGGGTAATTATTACAGACCTTCAACTACCCTTTCCCTTTTGCACAATATAGATGAACTTTTAAAAATGAAAATAACGTTCTCTAAATTCTTCCAGTTGCTAAGGACATTTTGTATTGTTATTATTAGTTACTTTGCTTGATAAATTCATTTTGTTTTTTGCCTTGAAAAAGTCCACATCAGACGAAACGCGTCGGCAATTACTACAGTTTTCCTATTGTCTTTTACATTTATAAATATGTGTGTGTGTTTTATTGAATTGAATATGATGTCCAATTTTACATTACAGATGTATCAGAAAGGAAATAATTCAGCATTTGCAGAATATATATATATATATATATATATATATATATATATATGTGTTTTTTTTTACTGAATTGAATATGATGTACAATTTTGCATTACAGATGTATCAGAAAAGAAATAATTCAGCATTTGCAGAAAATGACAATTGAAAGAAACTTATCAGAAATCTGTTTTTTTTTTCTGAATAAATTTTTTTTCTCAAGAAAGGTATTCATTATTCTGAAAGAAACTTTTTTCATTAACTTTCTTTAAATATTGTATATACTTGCATACCATGCAACATTTGAAGATCTAATTTTGAAGTTAATTTGACTATAGTAAATTAATATATAGTTTTGTTGCAGAATTTATGCTAAGTAATGTGTCAGAAGGTGAAATTGTGTGAAGGCCTAAAATGTGCATGTACATTATGCATTTATCCACAACAAATAAATTAAACAAACATATGAAGACAATACAACTTGAAGAAATCAAGGAAAAACAACGTAGTTATAGATTTCAACAATAACATGAATTTATATATATATATTTGACATACACAGTGACAATTGTAAGTGTTGATTCAAGTTATGAAGAGTTGTGTGCCTTTGACTGATATGCTAAAGTTGATTAAATGTACAATTACTATTTCATAGTGATAATGTCACTTTTTTAGTAAATTGTAAGTTAAGTTTCTTCACGCGGCAATAGTAGTGCAAGTTGTGTTGAGTTGATAAGAAGCTGGTAGTGTTATTGAGTCAGTGTGTTGGCATGTGCGGAGTCTGCTGGCATCTCTCGAAACTCAGTGTCTGACTGACTTGAATTAAGTCGAGCGATTCTTTTTTATAGATTTTTGGGTTTTCAAATAGGCTCCAGACAGCTGCGTGGGAAAAAAGGATTTGTCTCAACTTGCTACATTTTTGTGTCCTTTTAACCAATGGGAAGTTGAGTTTGGAGAAGTGATGATTGGTTAAAGGTTAATTTGGGGAAGAGTGCATCTTCCCGCAGGGGGTGACAGGCAAGTGTGGAGGATTCCATAGTTTAGTCTATGGCGTAACCAGGGCCAGCAGTGCATACATCCATTCATTTTATGTTGTGTATGATGTGATCCCCTTAAAATTAGCTTAAAAATTAATTCTTCCAAAGTCACATGATACGCAAGCATATACAGTATATTTATTTTCTGTAATTGAGAAACATGTCAGCATCTTTCTACATATTTCTCTGATTATGAACTTGTTGGAGTTAACTCCTCCTTAATTCTCTAATTGTTCACTAGGGGACGCTCTCCCTACACTATAAATACTGGGCGACTTCTTGCATCATTCTCTTTTCTACTTTGCATTTCAGCGGACAGATTTTAAAATGTGATCTCTCATAGAGATCAGCATTTTTGCCCACTTATGGGAAAATGCCATGAAACACATATACACGTGCATACAAACATTCACCAAAATACAAACTCTTTTACATCTACACACAAACACAAATGTTGATGTTTTGTCACTTGTAAATTTGTTGTTTAATACACATATTTGTTGATATATATATATATATATATATATATACATACATCGGTCTTGTTTGTTTTCTTTACATCTTCAGTTGGACTCAACTTGAGTCTGGCATCGTTCTTGTAGTTAGACCTTCTAGCAGGAATAAACGCACATGTGCCTAATTCAACAACACACTCAAACCCACTCAGTCCTCTACAAACTTGCAGAGGGCCGTGTGTGTTTGCATGTTGTTGTATTAGAAACATATGTGTAACTCCTGGTAGAATATTAAAAGGTCCAACTACAAGAAAATGGCCGGACTTGAATTAAGTCCAACTGAAGATAAAGAAGACAAACAAAACCTATATATATATATAAACAAATATATGTATTAAATAAAACAATTTTATAATGGACAATAACATTTGTGTGTGTGTGTGTAAATATTGGTGTCTGTTCTTTGGTGAATGTTCATACATACATGTATGTGTGTATAATGTTCATGGTGTCTCCCACAAATGGGAAGATGCAGATCTTCTAAGAGAGCTTACATTATAGTCGCTGAAATAAAGAAAGGAAAAAGAGAACGAGGCGAGACATCACTCAGTATTTATAGTATAGGGAGAATGACCCCTTGTGACAATTTGGGAATTAAGGAGGAGCTAACTCCGACAAACTCATTCCACTATTCTATTTAAATCACTAAGAATAAAAACCTTTTTCCTTATTTTATCTTGATGTGTAAAGATGTTTTTTTTTTCTTAACTATGAAAAAAATTATAAAAATTCAAAAACCATGGAAACAAATGTTATACTTTAATAGAACTAATAAATATAATTTTATTTACCAAAATAAAGTATCATAATTTCTAATGGTAATTCCAACAAAAATATAGATGGCATTATACAAGGATTCAAATATCCAGGATAGCAGTAAATATCCGAATTTTTATTTTTAAAAAATAAAACATAAATAAATTAAATAGCTTTCCTTTATTTCAAAATTTTTAATGGTGGCTATTAAATGCATAAAAGCATTGGCATCAGATAAAATGAATGTTTTCAAACTTCAACAATCGAATTTTTTAAAAATTTAATTCTTGCAGCCCCACTGTGCTTTGTTTCAACTAAAGAAAATTGAATAATTTACTGAAAATGCAAAAATTAATTACGAAAAAGAAACAAGTGGATTGTTCAACAAGGGAGATAAGCACATTTTCTTCTCGTACAATAAGAGTTATCTTTCTTGATTGACTGTGATATATTGACAGATAAATTCATATTGAAGTTATCAATTCCTGCTGCTGAAATTAACCGTTTTGTAATTAATTTACATAAAAGATGAGCGTAGAACCTCACCATAGACTAAAGAGTCAATGAGCTTGTCTTGCAGCTGTGTAATGATTTCGAATCTTGATAGATGATCTACATGTGTGGCTTTTTAAAGCGGAGTCACGCAGACTAAGAAGCTAACTCGGAAAGAGATGCTCGTTTGATTAAGAAACAAGAATTATTGTTAATTAGAATTTTATTCTTAGTCACATCATCCACAGGACATTATGAAATTTTTTTTTCTGTCAATGATCAGACTGTATAAAATCATAGTTACCTCCCTTTAGTAATTGCAAATAAAGCAAGCTGAAATAGAATTGTGTACTTTAAAAGAATAAAACTTAGCATTTTTAGGTACACAATCCTCTTCAAATATTTATCTGAAACTTCCAGATTCTCTTTCTCATTTACTCATCTGAACTGATTACGTAAGTAAAAGAGTTTGCTATACACAGCCAAACAACTTCATGAAGAGACCTCAAATCTGCAATGAACACATCACTATTTCTGACAGTTATGGGATAGATCCTTAGTTTTGGTAAAGCTCATCTCTGTTTATTCAGTGATGGCTGTCCACTTCTTTCATGGCCGCCTGTTTTCCTGAAGGATGATCTTGAAAAGCCCATCGCATCGTGTGCAACCTCTTATATTACTTACATTATTCAGACGGTTATCCTCATTTTCATTTCTATATTCACAATGTTTCAGCCATTGTATGCTCCAGTCTTCGTCAAGTGATTGGAATTTCAAAACGAACACTTTATTTCGTCTATTGGGGTAGATTGTTCTAGGTCCACATGCCATGGCTCTTCTGGATGTCTGTTATTTCCCTTTAACACAACTCTCAAAGTTTTGGTTCACCACTGCTGTAGCTTGGTATTCCAATCACCTGAAGAAGGCCAGAGTGTACAGCAACCGAAATGTTGTGAATATGGCAATGAAGATGAGGATAACAGTCTGAATAATGTAAGTAATCATAATACCACATCTTAGAGATATAGAAAGAAACCACTTAAATGTTAGTTTTTTTAATGCAAAAAAATTAAACTAAATAAAAAAAATTCTTAAAAATGTTTCTCTGTAATCCTTTTGCCATCTTCTACTGACTATTAGGCTATGGCTAACTGAAGATAGTCTTCAAGGTCAGATATTTTGCTCGGCCAAAATACAAGTCACTGGCCTTTGTGATAATCACTACTGGTAGAAACCAGCTGGAGATCAAAATGGTTCACCTCCCTGCAGACAGATTTTCTAAGCGAAGCTTAGATGTGGCACAAGGCCGAAAGTAGGGAGCACTCAGTGAGGATCGAACTCACTACTCGGTCATAATTGTTCTAGCTCTCTCCCTGTCTGCAGACAGTGTTCAGAGTTATCAAGCAAAGATTACGTACAGATGTTGGGAGGGGGAAAGATTGTTGTGATTTCCTTTGAACCAACAAAATTGCTATATTTTACATCTAATTTCTTTATTCAGGGGCCAAAATTGCACAAAAAATATTAACAAAATTCACTAAGTCTCAAAGCAACCAACATATCGAGCAAACCAGGTTTTGCAATCCCTTACTCTGGAACCAAAGTGTAAATGAAAAACTACGTCAACTTTCATTCATTCAGATTTTCAACAAGTAATGTTCAAGTCTTCCTGTTCATTCAGGAATTGATTATATCAGCATTTTTCAAACTTTTTTTTTTTTTTACTACGACCCACAACAAGGATCACATTTTGCTTTGTGAACCATTATATGTACGTGTAATAAACCAAAGACAAGCTTTGTTAACTAGTTTCATTTATTTAGCATCAACAATTTATATGTTTTTATGATCTACACATATTGGAATTACATTATCTTTTTGTATAAATATAAAATTATTACTTTTAGAAATACAAATTTAAAAGAAATTCCAACACATAAATAATATTTGAAAAAAAAAAAAAAAAAAAAAATGTCACTTCATGATATGGATGTGCTTGTTTGTTTATAATCAGCTGATTCCAATTGGGAATCCAGGAAGACATGGCTACACATATATCAGGTGCTATGTTGAGCCTGTTTTTGTCCTTCATCTTAAATTGGGTTAATGTGCAAAATCTTAGTTCACTCAAGTAATTGTAAAAGGCAATAGTAATAAAATAGACTTTTTACTCAGTATTGGAAATTCCCCTTTGTTTTTAACCCAAAACAAGATACATAAACTCAATGAGAACAGAATGTGTGTGTGTGTGTGTATATATATATATATATATATATATATATATATCTTTAAAAAATAAAAACAATACGAGCTAAACTCGGTGAAAAAAAATAGCAATTAT